AAACAGATATAACAAACAACAACCAACGGCAACCACTGGATTACAGGCTTCTGACTTGGGACGTGAAAATACAGATTGTGGCGTGCTTAAACATGTTTGTGAGCACTCAACCCTCCGTCTAACATGGGACAATGGTGTAACAGCACAACATAAAGTGCAAACTGTAAAAAGTATATTGGAATTGGCTTGAACCATCAAATTGGCAACAATCACTACAAACAACTAACATAAAGACAAAGACCAAGTACCGATCTAGGTATACTCGTAGATACTGAATGGTTGTTAAAAAAATCACGTTCTCCAAGACTAAAGTATCAAACAGTACACATCAAACGGATTTAGTGATAACTTGTCATGAACAGTCTTGGAAAATCATGACCTTGTACAATGCCAAAGATAAAATGTCCACGATCAGTCGTCAAACAGTGTCTCATCTTACCAGTAACATGTTTACTCTTCAGTAGATCCTCCATGTCAACTATCGGTCGTCTAGCAGTCTCATCTTACCAGTAACATTTTTAATCTTCAGTAGATCCCACATGTCAAACAACGGTCGTCTGGCAGTGTCTCTCTTACCAGTAACATGTGCACTCGTCAATAGATCTCCAATGCCAACTATCGGTCGTCTGATCCCTCATGTGGTTGTCTGACAGTGTCTCATCTTACCAGTAACATGTTTACTCTTCAATAAATCCAATGTCGACTGTCGGTTGTCTAGCAGTGTCTCATCTTACCAGTAACATGTTTACTCTTCAAAAGATCCCCTGTGTCAACTATCGGACGTCTGGCAGTGTCTCATCTTACTAGTGACATATTTACTCTCTAATAGACACACGTCCACTTTTGGTTGTCTGACAGTGTCTTATCTTATGAGAAACATGTTTACTCTCTCATAGATCCCAGATGTCCATTTTATGTCGTCTGGCAGTGTTTCATCTTACTGGTAACATATTTACTCTCTCATAAACATGTGTCCACTTTTGTCATCGATCGTCTGGCTGGTCTCATCTTACGAGTGACATATATTTAATCTCCCATATAGATCCACGATCGCTGGTGACATGTGCACTCTCTTATAGATTGCACATATTCACTGTCGGTCATCTGACAGTGTCTGAATTTACTCAAGTGACACGTTTACTCTCTCATATATCTCAAATGATACTACTATCTATCTGACTTGTCTCGTCCTACTACTGTCATGTTTACTCTCTCATTGATCCCACATGTCTGATATCTGCTACCTGACAGTGTCTCATTTTACTAGTGACATGTCTACTCTCTCTTTGTTTCCACTTGTCATCTATGGACAATCGGACAATCTGACAGTGTTTTGTCGTGGCCGCGTCTGTGGGTCCATAAACGGGATAAGATTATAAATTGACACACGACGGGCTGATGCATACAGTTTTTCGTCTTACTAGTTACATGTTTACTCTTCTATAGATACAACATGTCAACTATAGGTCGTAGACATTATCTCATCTAACTAGTGACATGCTTTTTCTCTTTCAAAAATCTCACATGTCCACAATCGCTAGTGACATGCTTTCTCTCTCAAAAATTCCACATGTCCACTATCACTAGTGACATGCTAACTCTCTCATAGATCCCACATTTCCAATATCGCCAGTGACATGTTTACGCTGCTCTTAGCTCCCACATATTCACCATCGCTAGTGACATGTTTACGCTCTTAAAGATCCCACATGTCCACTATCATCATATGCAGTGTCATGTTAACGCTCTCTAAGATCCCACATGACCACTATCGCTAGCGACATGCTCACTCTCTCATAGATCCCACATAGACATGTTTACTCCTGCATAGATCCCACAAGTTAACGACTACTGGCCATCTGGCAGCAGTGTCTTATCTTACTAGAAGATTACTGCCTCATAGATCCCACTTGTCGACCATCGGCAATTTGCCAATGCTTTGTCATATGACCGCGACTCTGGCTTTATATACTGGATATTATTGAAGAATCATAATGATGACAGGGTGATACATGTATAACAGGAGAAGCTGATACTGCACATTCATCTGGCCGAACTTCATTTGGAGTTCATGCGATTCCGATTGATTTAGTTCCTAAGCTTGATTCAATTGTTTTTGGACTTTTAATATTGTTTTAACTTTCAACTCCAAATAATTTTGCAGTAAGGATTTTCATCCAACAAAAATAATTTTGATAATTTTTTCGTTAATTTACATTTCACTTCTACGGACATATGTTGTCCTTCTTCAGTTAGCCTTACTGTTTTGAGAATGTACAATCATACCTTCTTTTTTCAACTGTAATGAATGTTTTTTCATTCATTCCTTGTATATTGATTTGACCCAGTATTTCTTTTTATATAACGTTCATGCTTTGTATAAAAAGATCGACATAGAAAGTGAAATGGGAAACGGTGAGAAAAATGTAGGCGGTTGAATTTTTCTTGGCCATCCATCTCCCCTGTATATTCATGAGAATTTCCCGGCAAAGTGAGAGAATCGTCATTTCTATAGGTCTCATAGATGTTATACATAGAACAGTACAAGTCAGATTGACTATAGTTTGGATGTTGATCAATCTCCACCACGTATTAAAGTACAAGTCAGATTGACTATATTTGGATGTTGATCAATCTCCACCACGTATTAAAGCACAAGTCAGATTGACTATAGTTTGGATGTTGATCAATCTCCACTACGTATTAAAGTACAAGTCAGATTGACTATAGTTTGGATGTTGATCAATCTCCACCACGTATTAAAGTACAAGTCAGATTGACTATAGTTTGGATGTTGATCAATCTCCACCACGTATTAAAGTACAAGTCAGATTGACTATAATAGTTTGGATGTTGATCAATCTCCACCATGTATTAAAGTAACATACAATAATGATAACATAACTTTGTTTAACCTGGAGATTTACACCATTTCTTGGCTCTGAAGTTATATGATGTTATATATTTGTTTTGATCCAAATATATTTTATATGATGTTATAGCAGTTAGATGATGTTAGAAAAACGGCAATGTCCTTGAACTCTTGAGATACATATCTTGTGATAATACAAATTTTCATATGTATATACTATATACTAATCCTACCAGAAAACGAAAACAGTAAACCATACATCATGTACATCAGCACTTAAGATAAATGTGTTTATGTAAACAACAATACTACATGGATTTTCTAACTCGACATCACTAAATATGTCGACAATCTTGTATCCTTTACCAGTGTACAGGCATATCACTTTGGAGTGCAAGAAATTCCTCTTTCTTAGTAGTTATCAATGTTATATAAAAATAAGAAGATGTGGTATGATTGCCAACGAGACAACTATCCACAAAAGTTCAAATACAATGGATGTAAGCAATAATAGGCAACCGTTCGGCCTTCAACAATGAGAAAAACCCATACCGTATAGTCGGCTATAAAAGTCCCCGACATGAAAAATATGAAACAATTCAATTGAGAAAACTGACGGCCTAATTTATAACAAAACAATTTACGAAAAACAAATATGACATACGCCAACTAACGACAACCACTGAACTACAGACTCCTAAATTTGGACATGCACATAAAGAATGTGGCGGGGTTAAGCATGTTTGTGAGCGCTCAACCCTCCCCTAAACTGAGATAGTGGTGCAACAGCACAACATAAGGACAAACTATAATAAAATGCTCCGCAGGGCGCAGCTTGATACGACCGCAGAGGTCGAACCCTGAACAGTTGGGGCAAGTATGGACACAACATTCAAGCTTGATACAGCTTTGCATTTGGATTGTGATTAAATATTTGACACAGCATAGGTTTCTGACACAGAATGAATGTGGTCTAAGAACTTAAAAATTTTAAATTGGACATTCACCTATTATGGTCCAATATCCAAAATCTAAATACATGGTTAGATTCAGCATATCAAAGAACCCCAAGAATTCAATTTTTGATGAAATCAAACAAAGTTTAATTTTGGACCCTTTTGACCTCAATGTGGACAAAGTTGATAACGGGGCCCGAAAATCAAAAATCTAAATACATGGTTAGATTCAGCATATCAAAGAACCCCATATATTCAATTTTTGTTGAAATCAAACAAAGTTTAATTTTGGACCCCGATTTGGACCGACTTGAAAACTGGGCCCATAATCAAAAATCTAAATACATGTTTAGATTCAGCATATCAAAGAACCCTAAGAATTCAATTTTTGTTAAAATCAAACTAAGTTTAATTTTGGACCCTTTGGACCTTAATGTAGACCAATTTGAAAACGGAACAAAAAATTAAGAATCTAAATACACGGTTAGATTCTGCATATCAAAGAACCCCAATAATTCAATTTTTGATGAAATCAAACAAAGTTTAATTTTGGACCCTTTGGACCTCAATGTGGACCAATTTAAAAACGGGGCCCAAAATCCAAAAACTAAATACACGGTTAGATTCAGCATATTAAAGAACCCCAAGAATTCAAGAATAAAACCCCATTGAAATTGGTCAAGAAATAAGCAATTTATACGAAGTATCTTCTTTTGCACAATACTGTGCAATTAAATATTTCTTGCTATTGCGCAATACTGTACAATTGACAATTTCTTGCTATTGCGCAATATTGTGCTATTGGATATTTCTTGCTATTGCGCAATACTGTGCAATTGAAGATTTCTTGCTATTGCGCAATACTGTGCAATTGAAGATTTCTTGCTATTGTGCAATACTGTGCAATTGAAAATTTCTTGCTAATGCACAATACTTATTATATAATAATTTACACATCCTGTTTGGTGTGCATCTCCTACCATAGCATTATTATTTGCTTTTAAATATAAATCAGAAATAATCAACTTAAAATGGAAAATTTTAAAAGAAAAACAAAAGGAAAAAAGGAAAAAAAAGTTTAAAAAAAAAAATCCCCCCCCTAAATTTTTTGAACCCCCTTATGATTCATCACCCCCAAACTCAATCCCAGCCTTCCCTTTGTGGTATGGTACCTTGCAGTACAATTTCAGAGATCCATACACTTGAACACAAGTTATTGTCTGGAAACTAGAAAAATGTGTTTTTTGGCCCCTTTTTGACCCCAAATTCCTAAACGTTTAGGGCAATTACCCCCAAACTCAAACCCAGCTTTCCCTTTGTGATATGGAACCTTGTAGTACAATTTCAGAAAGATCCATACACTTACACACAAGTTATTGTCCTGAAACTAGAAAAATGCTTGTTTTTTGCCCCTTTTTGGCCCCTAATTCCTAAAATATTGAGGCAATTACCCCCATCATCAAGCCCAGCCTTCCCTTTGTGGTATGGAACCTTGCAGTACAATTTCAGAGAGATCCATACACTTGAACACAGGTTATTGTCTGGAAACTAGAAAAATGCTTATTTTTGGCCCCTTTTTGGCCCCCAATTCCTAAACGTTTCGGCAATTACCCCCAAACTCAATTCCAGCTTTCCCTTTGTGATATGGAACCTTGTAGTACAATTTCAGAAAGATCCATACACTTACACACAAGTTATTGTCATGAAACTAGAAAAATGCTTGTTTTTTGCCCCTTTTTTGGCCCCTAATTCCTAAAATTTTGAGGCAATTACCCCCACAATCAATCCAAGCATTCCTTTTGTGATATGGAACCTTGTGGTACAATGTCAGAGAGATCCATACACTAACACACAAGTTATGTCTGGAAGTTACAAAAATGCTTATTTTTGGCCCCTTTTTGGCCCCCAATTCCTTTACTGTTGGTACCATAACCCCCAAAATCAATCCCAACCTTCCTTTTGTGGTATTGAACCTTGTGGTAAAATTTCATAGAGATCCATTCACTTAAACTAAAGTTAGAGTGCGAAAACCAATGTGTCTTCGGACGACGCCGGACGACGCCAGACGACGACGACGACGCCAACGTCATACCAATATACGACCACAAAAATTTTTTTGCGGTCGTATAAAAATCAGTTAAAAAAGGCTTTACTCATCAGATCGATACAAAGAAAAACATCAAACAAAAACACAGACAGGACGTAGCAGGGTATATACCCATCCCCCACCCCTAACAACAAAAAAGACACTTAGTACAGATCTGAGAGTACTCGCAGTTACTCACAGCTAGTTCAAAGTCAATAACAACTAATAAAAAAATCATGTATCTAAGACTAAAATATCAATCAGTACACATCCAACATCCAATGGATTTAGCGTTAAGACGTCATTAACAGTAAAAAAAAACCATGACCTTGTGCAATGCCAAAATATAGGTATCGAAAGATTGTAGTACCGTGAAAGTACATATGTGTAATATTTAGTATGAATATTGTTCAAATTAATTGTAAATGTTTTAATTACTAGTAGGATAACGCAATATCATTTTATTCCCTTATTTAACATTTCATTTTCTGTTTATTCTGGACGGCAACTTTACCCAATATAATACCAATATAATGTGTTCTGTTGATTTTATCTAAGAAGGAGGATTTGTTTAATACTCTTGTTAAACACTTAGTGGCTAAAACTTATGCTACGATATGCAAATGACATAAACTAAAAAATCAGATGTTTCATTCGCTGACGAAAATAAACAAATCTCAGACATTAATGATCATTAATATAAGACAAATATTCAAAAAATGTTTAGTCAATGAAAAACTTTTTTAAGTTATTATGTTTGTTTGCTACATATAATTAGTGTTTTAAAATAGAGCATTATGTACCTAGACATATTCCTTTTGTGTTGATAACTCATTTACATCGTAAGGACCCTTCCAGACATACTTGATTTTAACTGCTCTATCAAATCTTCAAATGATTTTTTCTGCAAGGCTCACAAGAACCATTTCTGTCATATTGGGTTTCAACTGGCCAATAAAATTCACAAGATTTTATAAACTTTTCTCATGGGCTTCAATATATAGGGACTATTTGTTGTTGTTTTTTTTCAATATTACACCCGTATCAACCTGAGACACCAATATGATCCCGGGAGCTCTGAACGAGGAATTATATTAGTTTTGAAGTGATACTGTGTGTAAATTTACTGTTTTTGTTGTAGTTGTAATATTCAGAGGTTGTCGCGAACCGCGATTTATATTCATTTCATCTTTGTTGTTATGATAAATGTGCTCCATACTTATTATTATGTAATTTTAAGATCCGTTCATTATACTCATAACTTCGTTAATTGTCTCTTGTTTATGTAATTTATTCACGTGATATCTCTTCAACGGAGAAACGGAGTTGTATATTTTTGTATAAAAGAAATAATTCTGTAATTTGAAAGTTAGAGTAAAAATAAAAGTAATATGGTCATTCTGAGTTGTGTATTATTAATTCCAATGATTGTGTTAACAAGGACTTACGCAAAAATTTAACTTTAACCACTGAACCATGAAAATGAGGTCAAGGTCAGATGACACCTGCCAGTTGGACATGTACACCTTACAATCATTCCATACACATAATATTGTTTTGCTCAGACACTGATGACGTTTTACAAATTCTGAGAAGCAACTGCAAGCTCCTGAATATCGTAGAAGTTGAGAAAGTAAAATTGAGAATGGAAATGGGGAATGTGTCAAAGAGACAACAACCCGACCATAGAACAGACAACAGCAGAAGGTCACCAACAGGTCTTCAATGCAGCGAGAAATTCCCGCACCCGGAGGCGTCCTTCAGCTGGCCCCTAAACAAATATATATACTAGTTCAGTGATAATGAACGCCATACTAAACTCCAAATTGTACACAAGAAACTAAAATTAAAAATAATACAAGACTAACAAAGGCTAGAGGCTCCTGACTTGGGACAGGCGCAAAAATGCGGCGGGGTTAAACATGTTTATGAGATCTCAACCCTCCCCCTATACCTCTAGCCAATGTAGAAAAGTAAACGCATAACAATACGCACATTAAAATTCAGTTCAAGAGAAGTCCGAGTCTGATGTCAGAAGATGTAACCAAAGAAAATAAACAAAATGACAATAATACATAAATAACAACAGACTACTAGCAGTTAACTGACATGCCAGCTCCAGACTTCAATTAAACTGATTGAAAGATTATGTCTTCATCATATGAATATCAGGCACAATCCTTCCCGTTAGGGGTTTAGTATCATACCATCATAACATATATGAAGTATATATATAATCCATACGCGGATGCAGTTGTTAAATTGCTGCTAAGATGAGGAACATTTATAATTTCAAAGTTGAAATCATTTCGTTTGTCATAGACTCAGGTATGGAGATGACCGGTGTAGTCAAATTCGGGGTATGTATGTCTAAAAATGAGGCTGAGGAAGCTGTATATGTGGTGTCTGTTATCTCTAGTTCATGCCTATTACTTGGATCCAATCAGAAAAGTTTGTTTTGTTAATGGAAAGAACATCTTCAATATACCTGTATGTAAAATTAAATGATATATATAGCTTCTTTGATCTAACCCTTAGGAAAACAAAAGCTTACACATTAAGATATTTCCAGGGGAAGACCACCAAACCCTCTCTCGCTTCACTCATCCGTGGATGCATTTAACATTATAAATACAAAGATATTTACTTTCGACAATTTACACTCTTGGAGGTCTTATTATCTTGGATGCCTAGTTAGCAATGCACTCAAATGAAAACATGTCTAAATATGGGTCACACACAAAAAGAACGCATTAACTCTGTGTATAAGTAATTACACGCTTCAACCAATTACAAGTATATCAATTGGTAAAGTAAGATGTAAATTTTCTGATCATGTTAAAATATTTTATAATTATGCATTGTGTATATATTTATATTGTATTGTTTGTATGCCTTCAATCCCTCGGGATATAAATGTGCATTTCATTAATAAATTAAGCGTGGTCACGCCTGGTCTTTCACGATCAAAATAATGCGTTGCCTGATCTTTCACGGTCAATTTTGATTTAAAACCAACAAAATTATACTTTTTTCAAAAATAATATGAACTTTTTCAAGTAATTACATACTTAAATTTTACTGGACTATCTGACATACTAAAGATTAAGTTTCAATTATATCATGATATATTGGAATGTGATCATTTTATATACAAAACGTGATTTTTTTCTTTATGATTCTCATAGGTTCGTGTGTCGCCTTTTGCTTTTTCATAAAAAGTACTGCATTTTTCTTTTCTTTAACATAGTGCACAGTATTTTTAAGGAAGTTGAATCATTTTGACAGACATATTTCTTTTTTCTGATTTGTTCCACCTTTTGAAAATACAGCAGATTTTTCACAAATTTTGAAGTAGAATTACAATTAATTGCATTCACGATCCGATCGCAATGCTTGACCACCATTATTACCGTCTCCGAGGAGACGGTATTAAGAGTTGAACGATGCACAGTCTACGGGCTGAATGCTTTCTTACTACCTGATTGGAAGATATTACCAAACTCTATAATAGTTAATTTCGTTGATTGGTTGTGACACTGCGTAACCTAGTAACTGTCGTTTAATCCCGTAGAGTGTCGGATTTGAACTCTTTATTTTAGTAATTAGATTTTGCCTGGTTACCAATCATGCATATCGGTAACACTTGTTCATAAATAGCCGAAACTCCTGAAACTTTGTAAACGCACACGTGCTTATTTAACATACTATCCTGTCGCTCACTGTTACGTAAATGTTATACATGAAAACATAGGAAAACACCGCGCTTGTTTTTATCCAGGGTTATAAATATTTATACTTAGTAAGATAATCCAAAGGCAACAACAAAATTGAAGATATCCAAATCAGTAATTTTCGATTAATATTAATTTACACGGGAATCTTTATCACAGGAGGGGGGCACTTCGACCTTTTTATGGTAGGGATGAGCAGCTGAGATATCCAATACCCCACCCTTTTCATATATTTTGAATAACAAAAGAACATACCCTAGCTATCATATATTTTTTTACAATAAGTATGCCTACATATAGCTATCATTGTTACGCTATTTCATGGGGAGATAAATAGTTTTGACAGATATCTTAAGCCATTTACATATTTACGACAGTGATTTTAATTGCATCTGTAAAAAAAATATCGAAATCTGATTAGTTTCAGATTCAATCATCAACCTTGTCTTATACTTCACCTAAATTTCTCGACCTCATCAAATATCATGAAGCTTAAAATATTGACCTATT